CAAACAAGATTTATACGATTCTCATAAATACCCCTTTTTTGGATGAGATTCTTAGACCCTTTTCTCAGAATAACTTTGAATTCGATCAGAGGTATTTTATTGGAAAATGAACAAATCTATCGATATAATAATCCTTATTGATTGATTATTGGTTTGAGATTAGGTCTAAAATGATCTAATCTTTTTTTTAGAAAAAAAAAAATATTGCAAATCATATATTTAATTTAAAAATAACAAAGTGTCAAAAATACACACCTTGGTTGCTTTTTTTTTGCAAGGTTATTTATTCTATGACTACCTATTTCCTTTATTTTACAAGCTTAAAGTTTATAAACAATGAGGTAGGTTTTTTTGTAAATAATTACCTTATTTTTTAACATTTGACATTGGTTGAGGAAGGGAAGTTAAGGCTTTAAGATAGTATAGTTAACTCTCTAAATATTATAAATATTGAATGTTTAAAATATTAAAAATATTAAATATTAAAAATATTAAAAATCTTTTACTAACTTCGGAATATTCATATAGATATGATTTTTTTTTTTTGGATTTCCTTGAGAACTAAGCGTGACCATTGGCTTAATTGTGGGAGCTGTCGTTTCTGGAGAGACATACCACTATCCAATGACAATTGACATTGGCCAGAGACTCTAACTGAGACCCAGTTGGTGGCCAAGAGGTGTGACACAATTGCCACATATCCAGTGACGATATTATAGAAACGCTGCCAAGAATAAAAAAACAAAACCATCGCCCCGGATTGAAAAAATGGAAAATGGTAATGGAAACCGACTCCAAGACCAAGACCAAGTCTCGGACTAGACCTAAAAAAAAAAAAACAATGTAACTAGAATTCGCTATGGAACTTGAACTGGATCTACTTTGCACATAATTGGCAATTGTCCACGGGGCCTTCTAGACCATCTCCATTTCCATTTAAAAAAACATTACCATTCCTATTAGCCGGCCAGGTGAGAGTTATGCGTTGTTGTTAATTAGCCATTTAAGGCCTGGCTCCAATCGGAGCACCTGAGATCACCACCTCTCCATGGAAACGAGAAACGAGGTCAAGTCGCGGCAGGAGTAACCAGGCCATGGCTAGCACTAGGCGGGGGAGGATTGTAATTATTTCTAGAGGGTGTTTTATGCGGGAACCCAGAACTGTTTAAAAATTAATTTAAAAAACTAACCTCTGCTTACAATCATCATAATTAAAAATAATAACTCGAACCATTGACCTTCTATTTTTGTTACAAAATCATGTAATCATATCGCGACCTATTATTGCGAAACGTACTGTCTTCAGGGATAACTCCATGAACTTGAGGGCATAATTAATATGCGACACGCACCGCCATGGATCACTCCAATTTATGCATCGAATGACCAGGAAAACAAATCCAAGACTTGGACTTTGTCTTGGACTTTCCAAAGAGAAGAGGTGGAGTGATGGTGGTTATAGCCAAGTTTGAGGCGTTGATGTCACAACGTGCCACCTCCATAAACAACTCAATTCAGATCGTGAGTCCGGCCACGTTATTACGAATCGTACTTTTGAATCGGTTCAATCAACCTACCCCCTATGTGTATCTCTCCCCTGGTTGGAGCCTCCCACCTCCCAGGTGTGTTCTCTACCTTGATGACAGGCACGTGATCTGAAGACGAAACGCTGCGAACCAAATCTGAATGAAGAATTCAGAATTTATGAATGGAAGCCTGGCTTTCATGGTTCAGTTTTGGTTCACTCCAGTTCGGATCAGTTCTCACTTGTGCGTGAGCGTAGAATGCACTGAGAGAAAACATTTATTATGGAGATGGTGGTTAATACTAGGCTTGAGAGCTATGAGTTATGATTTTATTTGAAATTATAGTTTAAAGAATGATATATAAGGTGTTTATGCATCAAAAGCTACTCCCTTTATCCAAGTGTATCTCATAGATAGTTTCGCTTTCTACAGATGCCTTCTAGACATCCAGTCTTGTAGATAAAAGCGGGAATTGAGAATCAGGAGTCTGCATTCTGGTTACTCCTCTCAAAGACAAAACGGTGCATCTTTCTGTATCTGTATCCGTGTGGAGGTACGTCTGTTGAGTTGTATCTTTGTATCTTTGCATCTATGTATCTGTTTTGGCACGCATGTCGCGTTGCTGTTTGTTGTTGCTGCCTGTCGTCGCGTCTGACGCATTTCTGTCTGTCAGTCTGTCTCTGTGCGTGGCTTAACAACTTGGAATTGTGGCATAAACACGTTCTACAATTTCCGGCATGAGTGTTGGGCGTTTTGTTGTCCGTTTGTCCGCTTGTCCGTTTGTCCGCTTGTTGTCCGCTTGCTGTCCGTTGTCGTTGTTGTTTATTGGCTCCATTGATCATCATTATCCACAACACAATGCATGGATCTATCTTTGTTTTATATTTTTAACACTTTTTCCCCCTTCAAAGACAAAGTATTCTCCCACTATCTCTATTTTTGTACACAAAATATCCATATATACCCCCTTGGCCACGAGTTGTGGGTTGGGGGGTTGTCATCTTGGCTGTTCCCAGGGCTATTTATGGCTAACCTTGTGGCTCCAAAAACCAAATAGAGATAGAAACGCGGCAAAGGTCTTTCCACTCGCGGACTGCAGGCGATATTTTTGTGTCAATTTTAGAACAATTAATTAGTGTTTGTCTTTTTTTTAGTCACACACCAAACAAAACAAAGTAAAAAACAACAAATTTATGACCTTATAAGTTGGGGGTTTCAAGAGAATTAATTTTTTTACAGTGCCCGATCTTGGGCGCACTTCAATAATAGTTAAACGAAAATTGAAAATAAATTTACTTTCGATTTCGAGGTTCAAATGGTTCGTTTGGATGGCAAAATGGCTTTAAATTAATTTATGACGGGGGCCCTTTAAAGAGGTCTTAGAGCAATTAAAAGTGATCAAGCTGCGATGCCGATGATCACATTTGAAATCATTAACCTCTAAACAAAAACAAAAACAAAAAACCAGAGGAAAACCAAACGAAACAACATCATTTTGTTGATAATGATCCGACAATCAAATAAAGGAGGTCTATGCTCCAAAATGCCTCAAAGACGAAAGATCTCCAAGAAATCTTTTGGGCCAGTTTTCAGTTTCAATTTCGATTTTGATTTCGTAATTTAAATTTCAAGTGGATTGGAAACTGTCAAATAGACCCCCCAACCCGCCAAAAAATAAACAAACAAAAAACCTAAAACATAAACCCAACTCAGCAGGTGATCGGTGATCAGAGGTGCTTGCTATCAATTAGTATATTTTTTTTCTGATTTTTTCTTAACCGAGTCTTTGAAAATGGAGTCCATTGCAATGATCATTATGACATTAGGTCACACTTTGCCACAAATGATCGCATTATCGACTCAACTTTGACACAAGCTTTTTGGACCGGGCCACAAATTACACGGATATGAACTTGTGGCGATCAATTAAATGACATAATTGGATCCGTTTTGGGCTCGAATTAGCGATCTATGATCATTGAACGTCCATTTAGAAATAGTTGTCCATTTTTGGGGAATCAATGTTGGCGCAAATCAATTATTAAGTTTTTTAATTCAAGTTTTTTTAAAAGGGAATTGGTATTTATGAGAGGATGGATTACTTTTCGGAGTATCAATTTCGGAGTTTCGGAGTTATGGCTTATATTTAAATATATCTTTCTACCTCAAACTATACCTCATACTTATAAATATCATTTATATATATCTATAATTTCATTTCCTATTTCCTCACAAATCTCCAAACTTTTAACCCAAACCTCAAGGCTTATTCCTCAACTCACAGTCCACGAATGAAAATGAAAAGTTCATTGGCATTTCTCGATCAGAAATTCATTGATCAATGTTTTCATTGGTCAATTTATCACGCTTTCAAGGCTCAACTGGAGCGTTCCTTTCGCTCCAGTTCGAGATACACAGATACAAAGATACACCCACCCACGGCATAGAATTTGCAGATCGATCTTTGGTCTCTCGACTCTCTACATAACATTTCCGCATTCAGTAAGTGTTTGTTGTATTCCTTGGATCCTCTCCCTCCCTATCCATATCGATTCCAATTTCCAATTTGCATTCTAGAGGCGATCGGAATCGCCTCAAACTGACCAACGCCCAGTGCATTATTATTATTATTATTATTATTAATATTTTTATCATTATTGTTCCGTCATATTTCACTTGGAAATGGCTGGAAAAGATCGTTAATGGTGACATCGTATTAAATTGGCGCCAATTGCGAATAAGAATTAATAAAAAAAAGCATTTATATAAGAAGCTAAATGCCAGAGATGCAAAATAAATGTTCAGGCTGGCTAATCGATTAATTGCCGCAACATGGAAAAGTAGACGAGTATCTGGTAGGTTGCACAGCTACAGATACAGATACTTCTCGGCAAGAAAAACAAAAAAAAAAATTGTAACAAATGGCCCAAACGAATTGCGCAGCCGATAAATGAACAAAGAATTCGCAACGCCCACAGAATCGGTCCGAGGCGTAACATTTCGACTTCAAATCGATTTATTTTGGCATAACTACCATAACATAAAGTGAAAGGATAACGAGAAAATGTCCTGGCGTGACACTAAAAGGGTCTATAGGGATATTACGGAAAAGGAGTTTCTAGAATCTAGATAATAGAAAGAATTTTAAAAATTAAAAAACATCAACAAAGGTGGTCTGTATGATACCCGGTACTTCTCTTGCCTTTTTCAGTTATATCTGCTATGGATTATGATCAAGAATATATATCTTTAGTTAAAGTACATTATTATTATAAGACTTTTAAAGACTGATCCTGGATATATTTTCATTCTACAAGTATGGGGTATTTATATCCTTTTATTATTTTAATAAAAATACAAATATAAGGAAAATCAAATATAATACTATGTGTTATAAATGGAAGTAAAAGTATGAAAATTTGTACTCCTAATTTTTAAACATTTTTCAAAATTAAACATTTCAAAAAAACTTACAAAAAAGAACCTGGAAAATCTTCAGCTCATATTCAAAACACCTTCAGATCACACAATTTTGAACAAAAAAGTCAGCCAAAAAAACTGCAAATAAAAAGAAAATAAATTATAAAATAGAGAATAAATTAATCAAAATTAATATATAAATAAAAACAACCTTATATTAAAAATAACTTAAATCTCCAAGGACTTGAAAAACTCTTCCAATAAACCAAAACCAAAAACTTATGTTTTCTTAAGCCGATTAGCAAAACAATTCCCAAAAACATGTAAAGGATTTAAGAAATTCTTAAATAAAAATAAGGGAAAGCCAGAAAACTGAGGAAAGTTTGGGGGAAAGAAAATCAAATCTGTGGAAAAGAAATAATACTTTGTCTAAGGAGATTAGAAAAAACACGAAAGGGGAGTGTGCGGCAAGAGAATCCAATCCAATTTCACCCTCCAGCCCTGGGGGCCTGAAACCCCAGGCCTTGCGGCATGCAACACCCACATTTTTTCCACAGCTTCCCTTGGTCCCAGGTCCTTGCAACCACCTCATCTTTCAACATCCTCTAGAGGTGGGGGGAGGTACACAAAATAAAGAAATTATATGCCACCCCAAAATGGGAAAAAATATAAATATACCGAAAGCCTTGCAACATTCATTGCTTGCAATATGCAACGTGCAACATGCAACCGGATGAGTGTTTAATCAAGGGGTGTGAGGCAAGGGGGCTGGTGTGGCATGGCGGGGGCGACACATCACATTTATGGCACTTTAGTTTTTCAGTTTTTTTTCCCAACCATTTTTTTTATTCACTTGCCTCGTCCAAATGGGATTATTTATGCAAATTTTATGCAAAAAAATAAGCAGAGAAGTAGCAGAAATGCATTTTTCCATTGATAACAAGCATAAATCTGAACTAAAGTATCTCTGGGTGTGTGTGCCGGCGTGTATCTATCAGATACAAGTATCTGTGACTGTGTATAAGAGACTTAATGCACTTTGAGAGTAAGTTCGTTATTTACTTGATTATTATTATTATTATTTTTTTTTTTTTGCAATTTGAAACGAGTGGGCTTTTATGGGGTTAAAGAAGGAGGGGGGGGTAGCTGCTCAACAAATTGTCGGCTTTTTGTCAAAGGTAATTCATAGTTTTTTTTTTCTCCGATTTTTTTTGCAACGACATTGACAGGTTGCAGTGGCTTGTTGTTTTTGTTGTTATTGAGTTGCGCATGCGCAGAGAATTAACAACAAATATATGCAGATAGATACCCCCCCTATACATACAGTCGAAAAAAAATATAAAAGTCAACACCCACAGACATGTCTTGGCATAATTAAACAAATCTGCGACAACAAACCGACATGAGCAAGCCATTAACCCATTACTGACCCCAAAAACCGGTCACCTATCAACACACTCTAGCCACCCCTACTCCTCCTGCCCCCTTCCACCTTCTCTGTTTGTGGCACCTTGTTAATTAATGCCAAAAAAAAGCAAACAAGCCAAACAAATTGAAACGCACCACACAATGTTGCAACAACAAATCGAAGCATTTTCAGGGACAACCAGACTTGAACCGAAAAATAATGACATTTCCATAAGTGTTAATTTGTGTTATGGAAAACCAATGAGATTGCCAAATAATTAAAACAATTACTAAAATAAAAAAAATAAAATAAAAGAAACTAATGTCAGACTTTGAGAAACATCAATCTCAATTATGTTAATCAGACAGATTAGATCGCAGATGGCCGGGCCCTCACTTTTCACTTTGGGAAAGAATGCGGATGCTGCTGAAAATATTTAAATTTTACATTTAGTTAGAAAGCAGGTAGTTCGTTAAAAAAAATAGCAAAAAAAAAAGATGGGAATACAAAGTTAAGGGGGTATATATTTAATGATTTATACGAATGATTTAGAGATAATTCAAGAGATATTTAAAGAGTTCCTTTAGAGGTTTCTACTTTAGAGGTAAGAAAATACTAAAAATATCTTCAAATATTTTTAAACAGTTTAGTTTTTGTATCTAACTAAAGTATCTATAACACTAAAAACCTATAAAGTATATGATATATTACAGACATTATTACAGATATTACAGATTGAAAGAGTTCCCTTAGAGTTTTTTAGCCATGAGTATTTAAAAAAATGATAAAACAATCTTCAAATATTTATTAAAACAGTTTCTTGTATCTAACAAAAGTATCTATAACACTAAAAACCTATAAAGTATGTGAGATATTGCAGACCAAAGGCGTTAAACGACAATTTCCGGCAATTGGAGAACAGAAAAGCTCTATATGCTCCATAAAACCAACTAACATATGTATATAGATAAGTAGATAACTAGCTATATAGATGGTTATATGCTCTATATAGTCTCTATATAATTTATTGTCCCAGAATGCAATTTAAAAATGCCAACTACAAAAGAAAATTGGACAAGACACGAACTAAAGAAAAGCTACAGGGTTCAAATGGTGTTCTAAATTTTCCAAAAGGGTACAGGAGATGCCATGCCAGGGGGTGGCAATGGGTGGTTAAGGTACATATACTCTATAAGGGCTGAAATAAAAAAAAAAAGTGAAAACCAATAAACTGCATGGCTTGCTCAATTGGAAAATATTTATGTGCTGGTAAAAGGCCTTTACCATTTTCCAGGCCAAAGTGATTTTCAGTTCGCGCTTCAACGGCTCGGTTATTGCTTGGGCCTGTTCTGGATTTAATTTCCATTCCTTTTATTTTGTTCACCTCTTGTTCAGCCACATCCTCTGCATTTTCCTACATACCCCTCCTTTTTTTTTATAAAAATTTCCCCCCCTTTGGTTCACCTTTGAACAAAAGTTGAATTTTTATTTTATTTTGGCGCACAAGGAATGCACCCGGTAAGGAATTCAAGGGAGAGGGAGCACTGAACGATACGATATGCGATATATTAGACAAAGAGTGCATTAAATATTTTAAGATTATAAGGAATTTTGGATACTCTTTAGAGGAGATATACTGCAATAGGAAGGAAATGATTCTTAAATGTGTTTTTCCCTCCTGAGAATTTAAAATAATGTATCTTTTATCCTCTTTCTTAGAGTAATACTCAGCGATTACGTTGGAAAATATATCTAAAATATATATAGAACCTTTAAAAACTTAATTTTTTTTGTAAACCCCATTTAAAACCTCTTATACACTGCCCAAAAGTTAGGGTATTAAATCAGAAATGTGATGAAAAAAAAGAAAAGGGAAAGAAAATTCTTTCAGTCGGTGCTGAAAGGTAATAAATAAGCGCAAGATGCGGACACGTGTGCCGTTAATCCAACAGAAGTCGAAGCTGCAACGTCTCCACCAACCACCACCCCCCTCCCAGTCCGGCAATCCCCCCCCTCTAACCCCGTGGCAATCCCCTGCAGCAGCCACGCATGGTGCATCGTTCTAATTAACGTCACAACACCAGAAAGAAACCGGCAAGTTAGGGAGCAGGCAAGCTCCCCATACATAAAGATGAAAGGAGAGGTGAGGTCAGAGGGGTGGGTTACAGCTGCAAATGCTCTTCATATATATATAGAATTATATATACTATATATATATGTATATTGCCATTCACATTCATATAGGGGTTAGGTCGCCGACTTTGAAACAACAACTTCCTCCCATCTCGGAATCTCCTCCGACTTGGTGTCTCTGATTCCATTTTCAAATGCATTTCCCTGCCCGGGAAATCTCTAGATACTCCCAAAGGGATATGCATTCCCCGAATAGGGTAGAATGTCTGGAATTAATTGAATTTATAGGGTAACATACTATATAGGGTGGTGGTATTAGGTTCTTGAAGAAAAGGGGCCTTTTGTGGTGGACCTTTAATGGGTAATATTTTTTCTTAGGTTGGTTTTTAAAGGAATAGGATATCACTAGGATCTTATTCTAGAAATATAGTATAATTCTATAGAAATATAGTATAATAATTCTAGTATCTAGATTTTTAAGTAGTGAAGGATGTAGGGTCTAGATATATAAATATCTCTATATATCTCTAGAGTCTAGATATAATATCTACAACTTCTATAAGTTTGAACAAAGAAACAAGCTATAAAAAAGGTATATTTTGAAGCCCCTATTATAATTCCTATAACCCTCAGAAATATCACAAAACCTAGATACCTAGTCCATAAAATTGGCCAAATTTTTGTCAATTTTTTTAGCCTAAATTTTAAGGCCATAACTCCATAAAACCAACACCCCAGATACTTAGATTCGCCTTGTTTGTTAGCCACAATTTTCAGACTTTTGGGCTGTAACTGTTTTGCTAACCATTTGACCCCAAATGACCTCAATAACTAAGGCCCTAAACCAAAAAAAAATCAAAGTATAGAAGAAACAAAAACAAAACTGGGCCGACGGGCGACAACTTCATGTCTGATTTCCACTCGAAATGAAGTTGTTTGCCGTGTGTTTACGCCCACAGCGAACAAAAAAGATACAAAGATACTAAGATACAGAGATACAAAGATACAAAAACAAATATAAATACGCATACGAGGAATGCAAACAGGCCCGAAGATGGATGGATTGGCTAAAGCTAATACACAACGATCTGAATAAGAAGTCTATATAGTATCTATAGGTATGGCTATGGGCTATGGGCTTGGAGCCTGGGGTCTGGGGTCTGGGCCTACTAACCTTGACCCAATAGAGGGAAAAGCATGCTGAAAGCGTGCTAATTGCAGAGGCTTTTCAACACCCAGCCCACCGATACACCGATCCACCAGCAACATGATGGAGTCAAGTGTAAACACAATAAAAAACACTCCGAGATGAAGCAGATACAGATACAAAAAAAAAGCATACAAAGAGATACAGATTCCAGAGCCAGAAAAGCAACATATTCTGGGCAAGCAAATAAAGTTCCTTCAGTCAATAGTCTGCTTTTTGGTTTCTGTTTGCAAATGAAGAAGATCTTTTTGAAGATATAGTAGAAGATATACTCTTCTATATGCCCCAAACGGATTTGTACATCTGGGGCTCGTAAACTCCATTTGCCGGACCAGGTAAACAAGTTTCCATTCCCCTCCTAGGCAAAAAACGAAAAAAAAGCCCCCCAAA